TGGGCGGGGGGAGGCGCCAGGTGGCCCCCCGAGGCTCCCAAGGGTGCCCCAAGAGGGCCCCAAGAGGTGCCCAGGAGGCTGCCAGAGAGCCCCAGAGGCCCCCAAGATGCCCCAAGAGGCCCCCACGAGACCCCCAAGACGCCCCAAGAGGCCTCCCCAGAGGCATCCAAGACAACCCCAGAGGCCTCGGCGAGATGGCCCAAATCAGTGGTTGCACGAAGGTTTTGGCCACATGCTGGCCTCCTGGGGGGGGGACCCTGATCAAGGAGCCCCCCCTCCGTTGATCCATCTCCTCGAAGATGGCCCCAAGATGGCCCCCGAGGCGCCCAAGGGTGCCCCCAGAGGGCCCCACCAGGTGCCTAAACAGCCCCAAGAGGCCCCCAAGAGGCCCCCCAGACGCGCCAAGAGGCCCCCTGGAGAAACGCAAGATGCCCCAAGCGGCCCTCGGGACTGGCAAGAAACCCCCAAGACGCCCCAAGAGGACTCCAAGAAACTTTCGACAACATCCGACGAGACTCCGACATGCACCGACCTTTCTGCTCCTCCTCCTCCTCCCTCTCCTCTTCCCCCTCCTCCTCCTCCTCCTCCCCTCCTCCTCCTCTCCTCCTCCTCCTCCTCCTCATCCTCCTCCTCCTCCTCATCCTCCCTCCTCCTCCTGTCTGCTCCTCCTGCTTCCGCCTCCTCCTCCTCCTCCTCCTCCTCCTCCTCCTCCTCCTCCTCCTCCTCTTGATCCTCCTCCTCCAGTGCCCACTCGATCCCCCCCGTCTCAGGGCACGATTTCTTACCCAGCCTTTTATTCCACTGCGTGCTCCTCCACATGCCTGATCAGGGCAACTCGTCTGGGCAGTGTTTCTGGATGGGCTGGTGGGGTTACGCGAAGCGCGTCTAGAATTACCTGAACCAAGCTGGCGCGAACCGAATGGCTTGAACCAAACGTGTTACGGAAGTACACCCCGTTAAATACGATATGGCGATAGCGAGGGCTTGAAAAAGGTGGAACGCCTAGAACCATTGAATGGTCGAATATGACCGGCGAAAGGCCCGTCGTTGCCAGGGAAAAGACAGGTGACGACAATCGTCGTGAGGTCAACGGCATCGCTGAAATGCATCACGGGGTACAGATTCAGGATTTGAAGAATACTTCGAGCTTGGTGGAGTCGTGCGGGGGCTTCCCAAGACCCGATCCAGCCCACAGGGCGGCGAAACGGGATGCGGTCCTTCTCAGCATGCCCCTGGCTTGTATATGTTGACTGCATGCCTCAACAACTCCCCAACAACTCCAGCAATTCTCGCCCAACAACTCCCCTGGACGATCCTCCCACAAGTTATGATGGGTCCGACTCTGAGGCGAGCAGACTGCTCACATCAGAAAGCTCCAACCTTGGCGCCGCACTGGACCACATCGTCCTCCTCGGCGTCCTCCCTATGATCACAAGCCCACCAATCCTTCTGGCGTAGGTGCTTTGGCAAATTAGTAATTCCGACCTCCGTCTTCACCTTCGGGGAGTGGCTTACCTCTCCCCCACTGCTCCCTCTCCCTGGGTCTGGAGGGGGCGCGTCGCGAGGCGTTCGGGTGTCCAAGGTTGCGCAAGTTGGCCCCAAGAAGGCCCCAGATTGTTCAAGAGCACACAATCTTAAAGAAATTGTCCGAACCTCCTCAAACGATCAAGGTCGCTCGAAGACCGCGCCTAAATCCGCAACAGGCCTCCAAACAGGCCCCGAAGAGGCCCCCCCAGGGGGTCCGGAAGAGACCACAAACAAGCCCCTGATAGGTTAAAACGATTAGCAAATGAGCAAATGTCTTCCGATGCTCATCGTAGGTCGGGCATGCCCCCCTACAGGTGGACTTTGGAGGAAAAATGTAAAGTAGTCAAACAATACTCACGTATAGCCAAAACTGATCCAAGATTCCTCCCTTGACTATTTTTTGTTTTTTTTTTTGAATACCCCTTTTCTGTAGAGGCACATGCCCGACATAATGCTTACCCCATGGCGTCCCCCGACAGATCTGGCACACCCAAGGAGGGGCACCCCGCGAGGCACCGAAAAAACGACCCCAAAGGGCCACCAAAAAGACGGCATCAGACAGCCCCTCCTCCTGTTCCTCCTCCTGTTCCTCCTGCTCCTCCTCCTCCTCCCCCTCCTCCTCGGGTGGTCTCCGAGAGCGGAGAGCAGTAAGATGTCCCCACGGTATCTCCCGACTGCCAAGCACAGCGACGAGGTTCCATACATTCGGGGAAGGAAGGCCTGAAGACCTCAATGAGGGTCTCCGGCAGGGTCCACGGAGGCCGCGGAAGGCCCTTCGGCAGAGGCCCGAGGGCGCAGAAAGCTTTGAAGCCATGTCCGCTGCTGGCAAGAAAAACAAACTGCACGGCACAAACCTTCGTAGCTCCGCGCAGAGTCCTTTGATCGGCGCTGGGCCTCCCGCCCTGGCGCGCTCCGCGCGCCAGGGGCGGCGCCGAGGGCGCCGCCGGAGGGGGGGGGGCCCAGCGCAGATCTGAGAAATCCGCGTAGGGGTCGGGAAATGTGCCATTTGTCAATCCTGGATGTTTGGCAGACTGCGCCTGGCCAGCCCGGACAAGACACGGGGTGGCTGCCAGGATGGCTACCCTGCGGCCCCGTGACGGGCCGAGGGCCGCCTCAGACGGCCATCAAGGCACTGCCAGAGGGCCTCCCGAAGTGCTGGCCAAGAAGCTCGCGGCTCACGATTACGAAGTGGTCTGCTGACCACGACGGAGCCATGGCTACAAAGCCGGATCGGGACAAATCTGTGACCTCTGAGACTCGGCGTTTCTAAAACATACTGGGCGCCACGGCCGTTACGAAGCGCTCCCCGAAACGCTCTGAGAGCGCTCTGGAAAGCTCTGGAATGCTTTATCGGGGTCCTAGCGCCGCCCGCCTGGCGTCACCCCTATCGCAAGCTTCTTCCTCAGAGAGCACGGCCATGCAAAAGAACAAAGAAGACATCTCCTGGCCACGTACCGCCACATGCGGCGAAGGCAGCGCCGTATTGCCAAGCGCAGGGACGCCTGGTGCTTGGCGACCTCGGGGGCGCCCCCCCGCGCCCTTCCCCCCTTTGGCCTCCGGCGCACACGGACAGGAGGTGCTCCCGGTGCCGAGAGCGGACCCGGCGACGTCGGTGCCCCGCCCGAGCTAACCCAGGCGTGGCTGCCTGGTACGCCCCCGAAGCCAGGCCTCTCGTAGACAACGTGTCGGCACAGGACGCGCACGCTGCGGCCAGGCTGCCCCCGAGGCACCGTTTGCCGACCGAGGCGTCAAGGCCACCGCTTCGCAGGCCCCGTCGAGCCCCGGGCGATGAGACGGGTGGGCACTGGCGGCTGTGTGGCGCTGGGGCTCGACCTTGTCCCGAGAGGGTGCGCTGGAGGAGCTGTGCGTTCGAGGGCTGACCTCGTGCTCTCCCCCCCCCCCAGGCAAAGGGGGGGGGGGCGCGACAAGCCAGGCAAGCGTACATAATCTCGCCCTGAATGCAAAGCCATACAATGAAGACCCCTGCCAAGAAACACCCTGCTTGTCTCCAGGGTGCCCTGGGTTTCTTGGGCCTCGATGGTTCTGCGATAGAAAGCGTGACCTTCCCACGACAAATACCGCTGGGCGTCCTGGGGTCTCAGGGTTGGATTTCTTGTGGAAGGTCTCTTGTGGACCGGCCTCCACTGTAGCGGAGGAGCGCCGTGCGCTTCTGGCCGGCTGCCAGGAGAGGCAGGGCGGGCACCACGACTTCGGCTGTGGGCTGCTGCACCAGGCTGACTTCCCTAACCTTCGTGGACACAACACCCCCGAATGCTGCTTCGGTCCGAGCTGAGGGTGAGGGCGGCAATCTGCAGCACCAAGGCTCCTTCGATGCGCTCCCATCCTTCGCCTCTCTCTCGACGTCGCCGTGCTCCTTGGCCTCCTCATTCTCGTGCTCTGGCCCGCACCATCTTCCTCACACGCTTCTGTGTTCGACGGGCCTGCGGCTCGGTGAAGAAACAACCCTTGCTGTGCTCGTCGTCGTCGTAGACGTCAACGTCGTCGTCGTCGTCGGATCACGCACCGCCCACGTCCAGACGAATGCTCCTGCCCTTCCGCACTCTGGTGAACAGACTCAGGCTCCATTACCAAGCATCCGCGTCGTGCTCGCAGGACCAAGCATCCGCGCGCTCGACTTCCCCCTTGGACATGGCCGGGGAGTCTGAAATGATCAGGACCCCAGAGAATCGGTCAGGAGGGGTGGAGGACAAAACCCAGCAGTAGGGAAAGAGAATAGGTCACCATGAAGGGCATCGCGGGCCTGCTTCTCAAGGAGATGGCTCCAATGACTAAGGCAATACAAGAACTCCAGCACGCGTTCGGGTACCTCGACTTGCGGCTGACCAGCCGCACGGACGCGGTGGAACTTTGCCTCAAGTCACTAAGTCTGTCGAGAAGCGCCGTGACATAGCCGAGGTCCGAATTGAGAAGTTGGTGTTGAAGACACGTCTTCAAAATCAATCCCTGGACCCCTCCCGATGTACACCTGGTGCAATCTCTCATCCCACATATCCGTTTTTAACCGTCCGGGGGCCCGAAAACGGCCCCTCGAGGCCGAAGAAGGCAACAACAACAACAACAACAACAACAACAACCACAACAACAACAACAACAACAACAACAACAACAACAACAACAACAACAACAACAGCAACAAAACGCTAACTGACCCAGCACCTCGAACCTCGCCCCCCCTCCTGCTGGCCAGAACCAGTGCTGGGCCACCTCAGACCCCAAGACGGCTCCAACTCCCCCCAGCCTCCGATGTCGTGCCCCCCTGGGGGAATCCAGGATGTTCCACATGCGTGTTCTATCGATACCGCCCAGATCGTGGAGCACGTATCCCACGCGCGCAGGAGTCCACGACGGCCGTCAACGGAAGCACGAGAGCAGGGCCGCTCCCCAGGAATGCAACCAAAGCATAACGAGAAGCCAATGGAAGGCTGCAGTGAGCGGAGGAAGAAATCTCGCGGCAGCCCAAACTTTGAAAGGTCCGCGCGGAGCTCTCGGATCTGCGCTGACCCCCCTGGCGGCGCCTCCGGCGCCGCTCCTGACGCGCTCCGCGCGCCAGGGAGGGGGCCCAGGGCCGCTGCAAGAAATCCGTGCGGGCCATCAACACTTTATTGAAGGGGCCCTGGGACGCACCAATGAATAGACACAGATAACAGGATTCCCCATACTTTCCCATATCTTCTGGGTTTTTGTCTTCCCCCCCCCACTTCCCATGGTTTTGCACATGTTCTGGGAAATCGACTTTGAATTGTGTCTGTGTGCTTCTTCCCCTCCTGATTTATGTCTATGCAGCTTGTTCTTCTTCGAGTGATGCAGGCCGCCGACCAGCACGCAGAAGTAAATAGTCCCATGGTAGATGCCCATGCACGCCTTCCTGAAGGCGTTGGCCTGGCAAGCCACAGATCTCGCCATGGTACGTTGGGAGGCTGGCGTGCTCTCACAAGTCGGGGCTCTACAAATGAGCACGGCGCGAGCGAAATGAGGGACAGCTTCCTGTCTAATTCACGAAACACGACATGATGCAGGGAAGGACTTGGCATTACTTGGCCTTTCGTTGCATCGCATGGCATTGGTTGGCATTGGTTTGCATTGCTTGGCATTTGCTTGGCGTGGGTTCGAGTCGCTTGGCGTTGCGTTCGCATTGCTTGGCATAGCACGAGGAACACAGGCAGGGAACCCAAGCAAGGAACCAAGTTCCAAGAACCCGACGAATCACGGGTAATGCTTCGAGAAACGCAAACAATGAATCAAGACCAAGGAACCCACGGGACCCTGGAGAATGCCTCGAGTAACCCAAGCAAACAAGAACCCCCAACATGTCTCGAAGAACCCGAGCAAGGAACCAAACACGAAGGAACCCGGAAAACACAGCAAGGAGCCAAGACACAGGATCCCGGGGAAGGCCAAGCGAAGCCACTGAAGAAGCATGTCGCACCCACCAGTTTCTTCACAAACAAAAATGAACCCCTTTGGCAAAGCCTACATACTTTAGGAGAAGGTGGACAACATCAATTTCAAGCAAGCTGGAAGTCGTGCATCAGTGAGCGTTCAACATGCCTGGTGTTCGTATACGACGACTGCTTCACCAGCTGAGGCGGGTTGGAATACGTGTCGCCCGCTGACATAAGCCACTCGTCCTGACCAGCGCTATTACAGCCGATCAGGCACCGTTCATGGCGAGAAGAGGCGAATGTGGATAAGATCGTGGAGGTGGGAAAGGAGTAGTTGAGAAAGAAGACGAGGACCAGAGCGTAGAATAGCCACAGCAGGCTGGTGAAGACGAGCATGAGGAGGACGAGGAGGATACCTCTCCTCAGGATGAGGAGGGGCTAGAGCAAACCCCGGAAGCCTTCTGAGACACCACGCGTGCACCCTGGAGCCTCCTCCTGTTCTCCTCCTCCCCCTCCCCCCCCCCTCCCTCTCTGTCCGAAGGTGCTTCGGCTCCTGGGTTCCCCTGCCTCCCTCCCCCCGCCCAGGGCCCTGGGAACAAACATGTCCGTCGGCGGCGAGGCAGGGGTGACTGCACCAGCGACAGAGCGAAACGGGGGCCCCGAAAAAGCGGATTGGCCAGCGTGCAGCCCTGGAAGAACATGGACTCGTGGTGCAACTCCAAAAAAAACACATTGCCACGACCAGCCACGCTGCCGTCGTGGACTGAAGCGGCCTCCACGATTCGCTCTCTGCCAACACACATATAATATAAACCTGCCAGGTCCTGGCCTGCCGTGCTTCCCCTGCCTCTGGGGCCCCGGGCCCCAAGAAGGCCTCCATGGGCCTCTGAAGTCAAGAGCACACGCTCGAACAACTGAATACGTCCTCGATCCTCGACCCCTCCTCGGCACGCATCACTGACCCTCGATGCTCAGTCACCGATGCTCCCCGATCTCCGCCCTACCCAGACCTCGATCCTCCATGCCCCCTCAATCCGCAATCCTTGATCCTCGACCCCTCGTCGACTCGCATCACTGATCCTCGATCCTCGGTCACCGATGCTCCCCGATCTCCGACCCTACCCAGTCCTGGATCCCCGATGCCCCCCATCAACCCGCACGCTCATCAGGGAACATAATGGTTACGTATCGGCGGTCCACAGAGGCATCAGAGGAACGAACAACGTGTATCAAAAGACGGGGAGACGTAAGGCTCGGGTTCAACGGACTCGGGTTGACCTGACAGGGCTGTCAAGAAAATGACGAGACCCAATCTGGAATCCGCTGCGAACTCCCGCTGCAGACATCCCACGGGCCCGCAAAAAAAAATCGGCAAATCCGAGTTCCAGCGGACTCGAGTCTCACGTTTCCTTGACAAACAACAACGAAACACAAACACACACACAACAACAACAACAACAACAACAACAATCATTTTACCCGAACGCTCAGTGTTCTCACCAGTGCCAGGGTTTTCATGCGACGCGAGACAATACCCCCACTTCGTGGGGGGGCAGTTCAAGCTCTACCAAATATCCAAACGACTCTTCGCGACCACCCAAACCCAGCTTCCCGCCCTATGACGTTGGGACACTTCACTTCGTGGCGTGCGGACGACCGTGGCTACTACACTGGCGTGGGGTACACACCCACAGAACTTGGTCACTTATTCGGGGCGCGCGTGTGCCCAGCATCCTGCAATTGTGACATACAATACATGACACAGACAGACAGAGAGAGAGACAGAGAGCAGACAGAGAGAGAGACAGAGAGAGCGGAGTTGGTCACATTTTTGGGGCAAGTTCCTGAGATCGTCGTGTTTTTTGTTGGTCTTGCGCGCGCGAATGTCCACTTTACTTTTTTTTGCAAGGGAGTATTGAAATTTGATTATGTTAGAACAAGAAAAAGTAGCTCGCGCGAGCTCATGTAACATAAATGTTGAAAAACCATTGGTTTTGTGGGAGTCGGACAGCGCGCGCGGGATGAAATTTGGACATTTTTTTTTGAAAAACCATTGGGTTTTTGATGTTTTTATGTTGAAATCGTTACGAAACCTAAGGTTCTGGAAGGATTTCGTCTTGCGCGCGCGAATGTCCACTTTACCTTATTTTTTGCAAGGGATTATTGAAATTTGATTATGTTAGAACAAGAAAAAGTAGCTCGCGCGAGCTCATGTAACATAAATGTTGAAAAACCATTGGTTTTGTGGGATTCGGACAGCGCGCGCGGAAGGACATTTTGACAATTTTTTCTTAAAAAAACCATTGGGTTTTTGATGTTTTTATGTTAAAATCGCTACGAAACCTAAGGTTTTGGAAGGATTTCGTCTTGCGCGCACGAATGTCCACTTTACCTTATTTTTTGCAAGGGATTCTTGCAATTTGATCAAGTAAGAACAAGAATTTTCATTTTATAGTGTTTTTTGCAAGGGAAAACGGATTACAACAAAACAACCGGATCCGGTGACAATCCACTTTTCTGAAGCTTTCGCTAGAAAATGAAGGAAATGAGGCTGCGGCCTAGGTTTTGGAGGGGGGTCGCGCACCAGGGGTCTCAACAATAATATTTCTTTAGAAGTAATAATGTTCAACAACAACAACAACAACAACAACAACAACAACAACAACAATTACTAGCACGTGGGGACACTCCGTTCTCACCAGTGCCAGGGTTTTCATAGGAGGCGGGCAATACCCCCACTTTGTGGGGGGGCCGGTTCAAGCTCTACCAAATTTCCAAACGACTCTTCGCCACCACCCACACCCAGCTTCCCGCCCTATGACGTTCGGACACTTCACTTCGTGGCATGCGGACGACCGTGGCTACTATTCAGGGCCCCGCGGCCGACGACGACGGCGTGCGCGCGCGAAGAAAAAACGAATGTGTCCCGCATGGTATTATTTGACAGGGATGATGGCCCTGGCAGGTGCGCAACCGTTGTCGCAGAAGTTCGAAAAAGTTGCTCGCAAAAGCCCGTTTGACAGAAATGTTTAAAAAGTGTTGGGTTTCCTACGAATCCGCAAGAGCGCGCGGGATGAGATTTTGACATTTTTTTGTTGAAAAACCATTGGTTTTTTGATGTTTTTATGTTAAAATCGCTACGAAAACTAAGGTTTTGGAAGGATTTCGTCTTGCGCGCGCGAATGTCCACTTTACCTTATTTTTTGCAAGGGATTCTTGAAGTTTGGTTATGTTAGAACAAGAAATGTCCACTTTAGCTTATTTTTTGCAAGGGAAAACCGATCGTAACAACACAACCGGATCCGGACTCCGTTTTGCCTGAGACTTCCTCACGAAAATGATGAAAATGAGGCTGCGGCCTAGGCGCGGCGGGGGGGTCGTGCACCAGGGGCCCCAACAATAATTATTCTTAAGAAGAAATAACGTTCAACAACAACAACAACAACAACAACAACAATTACTAGCACGTGTGGGGACACTCCGTTCTCACCAGTGCCAGGGTTTTCATAGGAGGCGGGCAATACCCCCACTTTGTGGGGGGGCCGGTTCAAGCTCTACCAAATTTCCAAACGACTCTTCGCCACCACCCACACCCAGCTTCCCGCCCTATGACGTTCGGACACTTCACTTCGTGGCATGCGGACGACCGTGGCTACTATTCAGGGCCCCGCGGCCGACGACGACGGCGTGCGCGCGCGAAGAAAAAACGAATGTGTCCCGCATGGTATTATTTGACAGGGATGATGGCCCTGGCAGGTGCGCAACCGTTGTCGCAGAAGTTCGAAAAAGTTGCTCGCAAAAGCCCGTTTGACAGAAATGTTTAAAAAGTGTTGGGTTTCCTACGAATCCGCAAGAGCGCGCGGGATGAGATTTTGACATTTTTTTGTTGAAAAACCATTGGTTTTTTGATGTTTTTATGTTAAAATCGCTCCGAACACTAAGCTTTTGGAAGGATTTCGTCTTGCGCGCGCGAATGTCCACTTTACCTTATTTTTTGCAAGGGATTCTTGAAATTTGATTATATTAGAACAAGAAATGTCATTTTATAGTGTTTTTTGCAAGGGAAAACG